ATTAACATTTTCATCTTGAAATCCCAGAAACAATAAGCAGTAGTATGTTCGTTTGGTTTGAGGAGTTGTAATCTCAATTTTTACTATTATGGAGAATGTCCAAATCTGACTTTTTAATTTTTTTGGGGAAGATTTATAGAACGAATATTTGGAATTGGCGAATGGATTCAAATTTATTAAAGAAGTACAGGTATTAAAGAGCATGAGATTTTAGGTACTACCCAGATTCCTATTACCCAAAGATTCTCTGGATCTGGTCATCCAGAATCAGTGCAGCAGCTACAGATACAGTTGAGACTTTTTGAGTTTTCTTGCAAATGCCTAATTACTTCTAGGAGAGAGTGAGAAAGAAATGGCTCCTCTGTAGTTTCCTGTGTGCAATCATTTGAGGTAGAAACCATTAGAGATTCAAAGAATGATGGCAATATGTTGTTGGAACATTTGGCTTTATTTTTCAGTGAGTGAATGTGTCACACTTCATAAGAACCAAGACATTATGGATGATAATGTGACTGTCTTCCATCGGTGGCTCTAGTGTCTCCGCCAACTTTCAAACTCAAGATTACAGTCTAGATTGTATCCGTAAAAGGGACTTCTATTTGGATTTACTCGTATCTGTTTTTTTAGGTTTAAGTTTTTCTGCACTGAAACAACAAATAAATCTTGCTCACTGATCAAACAAAAGGAACCCCACCCACCCACCCACCCACCTGGATCATACTCAATTTGAGAACCACCTATTAATTTTCTAGCCAGGAGTCCTGGACAGACATTTTACTTCTCTGTAATGGTTGAAATAGGTGCTCTTTACGGAACTGTAATTTACTGGGAACCTTCTGCCTTCCCTTTTGAGGTGTAGGACATTTTCAGTGGCAACGAGAATTGATGTTTGCTTTTATTTAGTGGATATTCTTTTTAGTTTCTTGCAGGAAGCTTACAGAAGTCTTTGTGGATAATAAGTAGCAGAGACAGATTGTTAGCTTAATCTCGTTAAATTTGTTATGCTTAAAGTCTGGAGAATCACCCTTCAGGGTGGTCCAGTGGTTTGAGCGTGGAACTTCCATGTTGGAGGTCTCAAGTTCGAAACCCCTTGCCAACGAAAGCAAGGGGTTTGCCTTCTGGGTCGAGCTCATCACACCGGGCTAACGTAGTGAACACCTCTCCTATGTGGTTTGTGAGTATTGCATAGGAGCGGGGTTTTTACCCTATGAGCACCCAAAAGGTAGCGGCTGCGGGTTTCCCTTGTCATAAAAAAAAGACGTCTCGAGAAATCATCACTCTTTGTCCCAGATAACAGATGTTTTAAAACTAAAATTTCAGTGACAACGCTTTTAGATGGTTCTCTATTACCAACCGCTCTAGGTGTTTCTCAAGCAAAACCATGATTGATGAAGTTAGCACTAAACGAGTCTGGAACAATGTGGTTGAGAAATGTGAAATGAAGTTAGCAAGATGGAAATCACAATATCTCTCTAGGGGTGGTAGGTTGACCTTGGTTAATTCTGGTCTTGATTTTTTCAAGTCCATCGAGCAATTTAATGGACTGGAAAGGGGTCAAGACATTTTGTAGTGGAAAGGCAGTTTTAAGGTGGGTTGTGCATACAACTAGCTGAACCACCCCAAAAAGCTCAAAATCACTAGCCATGGAGAGGAATATGAAAGTCAAAAATCCCACTCAAAGTGGCATGTTTTGTCTGTTTTTAGCCAAAGAAGTTGTACTGACTCAAGACAACTTAAAGAGGAGGGGGGGTACCATTATGTTCTACAGTTTTGTTTCTTTTGTGGGAAACTGCTGAGGTAGTTAACCATCTTTTTCTACTCTGTAAGATCACTGACCAACTATGGAGGTTATTCCTGAGTCTTAAGGGTATGTCATGGACCATGCCTCCCAAGATCACATAAGCAATCTAGAGTTGGGAGGAAGCAGGAAAGTAATCCAAAAACGGAGACAAATGTAGAATGGTTCCAGCTAGTATATGGTGGGCAAAATGGAAGTAAAGGAACTCTAGAGCTTTCGATAGTATAGAGAATAGTGCGCAAAAAGACTTTTGGAACCTATAGTCTTAAAATATGCCTAGAATTTGTGTCTAAATAAATAATCTATTAAGGGTAAATTTTAAAGATAAATTTGTTTCCAAGTAAAACTTTTTGGGGCAGACTACTATCAAAGAAATAGTGCCACATACCACATTTAATGGGCAGTTTGAAATCCTTTTGCCTTATTTAGTCTCTTCCATTGGAGCAATTTGTCCCTGTAAATGATATATTACCGCTCTTAGATTTCATTAGCTCCCTCAATATGGCTTAACGACCATTCTTTTGCTTGTGGTTAACCCCTGATTAAATAGGTGTTTTTGTTCTCAGGAGTTACAATATTTTTGTGTATGTAATTTGCATTTCGTTGATTCCTTCCTAATACAACATCTTACTTCATCAAAAAAAGTGCCACATAAGTTGGGCGGAGGGAATATATTGAAATCTCCCCATGATGATGTGTTTTCAGTTTAAAAGGCATTGATTCTCTGGAATTTGATATTGATTCTTATGCGGGACAATAATTTATACCAAAAGAGATGTGAACTGCGATTAAATTGCTCGCCCAGATGGTTAATTTATTATTTTCTTCCACATTAGGCTTTGGGGGTTTGTGTCTTCAAGAATTTTGTTTAAATCTTGTGTGGATCTTATAACTTCTTTTGTGTGTGAATACTGTTATCTCTCAAAGAGTGCTTTAATTGAGATTAACTGATTACTGTGTTATAGATTGCAAGAATCATTTTGATATATTTTATCTGGTTGAGGGAAAATTATTAAGAAAAAAAAAAGGAAACAATGGGCAGAAGTGTGATGATGGAAGTGGCTCTTGACATGCTTAAATCTATCTTGGCTCAGCTTTTGGCCATTCATGGGGATCAAACTTGTGGAGATCTTTTTATATTGTAGTTTGTTGATAAAAGCCTGTGTCCTGCTTTCTTTCAATGTGCACTGATGTTATGGAAGTTGGGTAGTAGTTTCTTTTAGTTGTCTATTTCACCATTCTGGTTGCCATTTTTTTACAAAGATTGATTGTTCTTATAATGGATATGTCCAGTCCTTATTTGGTATTGACAGCCCTGTTTTGATGTATCTAAATATGCATTTCTTTATCTTGTCAGTCTGAATTGGATTATAATGGAGAGGACCAGTCGATGTCTCCTAGGCCACCGCCTCAGCATTCCCAACCGTTGCACTTTGCAAACTCAGGGTTTCATGTCTCTCCAGGACCAGTTGGCGTAGCCGCTCCAGGACATGGCTTACGATCTGATCATGATCAGCAACCAAAGAACAATGTTTTCTCGAATGCTCTTTCAAGCCCTGTTCGTCGAAGCCTACAAAATTATCACATTGCTCAAGGGAGTCACTTTGCGAACAATGCTCAACCTCCAAATGCTACCAGACACAATGAAACTAACTCCCAAAACCTAAATAGAGATTCTAATGGTTATAACTCTGTCGATGCATCCATGGATATGCATTCTGATAGTCCAGGTCATGACTCTACCTATTGACCCCATAATGTTTTGGAAGCTGGCTTTTGGCATGCCAGAGTGGTCAGACTGCAAGCTCAGGTAAGTTGGCGTCTATTGTTGTGCAAGTGTTAAAGGTGTAAAAGTAGATCATGAAATTGGCTGCTTGAGACAAGAAGTGTCCAGACATCAATATCGTTATGCAAATGCTCATCGATAAAATGCTCCTTCCATGAACACCATACCTTTTGAATACACTCCTATTTTCAGACCAGCTAGTCTTGTTTTGGATCATTTGTGTTATTTGTGAATTGTTTCATTAGTTAACAAACTATGTGATCGATGTCGTGTTGTCGTTTGGTTGCTTATGTTTCTGCTTTTCTACCAAAGTAGCAGAATGCAATATTTCCTAGACCAATTTGCCAATGATTCTACAAGTTATGCCAGTGTAAACAGAGATATTTCTAAGTGAAAATAGAGCATAATTTTTTAGCTTGTAATTTATCCTACTTTTATGCATTGAAGTTTATCTTTGGTTGAATTACTATCATTGTTAGTCTTTTCATTTCTATTCAATCTAAAAATGAGTATAACTAAAGCTGAAGAGTGCAACTAATCCGTAACATCAACGGCAGAATAATGAGGTTCGAGTTGTTGAACATTTAGTAAACTATATTACATTGAAAGTGAAAGCTTGTAAAGTTGAATTATCATTATAATACTAATATACTTATATTAAATGCTAATACCAAAGATATTAAAAAGTGGGGTCTTACTTAAGTCAAAAGTTGAATATAAAGATATCTATAAAAAGTTGTTAAGATGTTAAGACGTTTTTACCATTTTAAAAATTAAATCGAAAATTCAAGTGTCATGCCATAAAATTTAGCTAAATATGTATTACTTTCAACTTGAGTAATTTTTTGAAAATAATAACAAAAGATATGTATTTTTTTTTGATATAAAAGAAAGAAAGTGAAATAAGAAATAGTATGAGACTCTTTTTTGATAAAAAAGAAAAAAAAATTAATTTCCTTACAAACATGTTATTGAATTTAATTATTCACAAACACTTTGATATTTTTTAAAAAGTCAAAATGATTCATATAACTTAATCAACCTTTGACTAATGGTCAACAGATCTAAGAATTTGTGATACAGGATTTTGTTGACATGGAAAATAGTACAGTAATTATAAATATTGATAGTATACACTTGATTTTTGTATATGAAATAATATTCGATTCAATTTTTCATAACGTAAAAATAAAATGTTATAGACCTATCACAATAGAATAACTAGCATAAGTCAATCTGAACATTGAAAAGAATTCAAAAAATTATTTTACTAAATAAAGTGGGATTAGCCAATTTTTATTAAGAGCCAGATTTGGGGCTTCCATTCCATAATCAGACGGCCCACTTCCATTTTATTCCCTTCCATTCAGGCCCAAATTCCCCTTTATTAGCCTCAGCCCACTTCCATTTAAACCCAACCCATTATATTCCTTACCCGACCCAACACCTAATACCCAACCCCAAACCCGTTTCCCTTCTTCTTCCCCAAATACCCACACACAAAATTTCCCAGAAAACAGACGTGAAAAATGCGGAAGAACAGACCCGAAAACGGAAAGCCATCCCACGCGAGCCGTTTCCTCCTGCGATTCGTACGCTCGCAGGCCTGGCAGCAAGCCTTCGTCCTAGCGACAACGGGACGATCGTTTCATCTCGACCCTCCACTTTCCCTTTTTCGTGCAATTCTTCAGCTTTTGGAGAGATTTTTCGAATTTGAAATTCGAAATGGGCCTGGAACCCCGCCCTCCTAACGAAAACCCTAGTTTCTCCTATATAAACCCCCACCTCTCTTCAAAACGGTTGGAGCTTTTGGTTGGAAAAAATTTGGCTTCCCTTTATGTTTGGTTGGACGTTTTTGGTTGGAAAATTTTCGTTTGGAAAACTTGGGGTTGAGAGAAATCTTGGAAAATATTTTGGTCCGCTGTGAGTTGAAACTACGAAAAGGGGAAGTAGCATTTCCGAAACGGGGCTTGCCTTTCAGTTTTGATCGTGAAGTCGTCGCTCTCCAGCTCGCATCGGCTCTGTTCCGCTGCGCCAGAAAAAGGTAATACTCTTTCCGTTTCAAGCATATCTTATTCCGAATATGTTGTTGTTTGACTCTCGATTGTGTGAGATGCTTATGTTTATGTTCTTGACTTACAGTTAGCTGCAAGTCAGTGATGAGATTTGTTTGTTAGTCTGTGAGTTTGTGTGTTTCCGATCTCGTTGATAATTTGATGTTTTCTTGGATCCGGGTTCAATATCCATTGTTAAAACATATGTAAAAATCGCCGTTCAGCCATGAAGCATGAAATCTCTCTCTATTGATAATTTCGAATTCTACCGGCTGTACATTTTGTTATTTTGTATTTGTGAATACATAAAACTAGCTGGTTCTAATTGTTGGCCTGTATGTTCGTATAACCATGTTGGCCTTTTCTCTACTTATCTTCATTCTATTCCCAGTTTGCTTGTCTCTGTGCTTTATTTCGGCCTAGATGGCCTCTGCTAAGAAGGTCAAAGCCATGCCTATTTGTTTGCAAAATCAATTCTGTTGACGAGTATTGTTTGTTGGTTAGGGTCATCATAGGTGTTGTTTCGTTCTTTTAAATTAAGTAGTGGTAGTTTATCGTTGGAGCATGTTTGTGCTATAAGATCTGTCGCTCATTTTGCATCTTTGTTAAGTAGTGATGGTGCGTATCACTGCAAGTCACCATTATTGCTTTATTTGTCATGAACTCTTTGTTTATGTCTAGGTTCTTCGAGAATCATGTTGAGTCTTTGTTCTGTTGTCTCTCTTAGTTCGACTTCCTAATACTTTATTTTATCCTTGTCTTATTCAAGATGCGTGTTATTAACCCGTATTCCGTTTACTAATTTGTTTTATTTTATTTTCTTTTTCTGTTGCATGGGAAATTCTCTCCCGAGTCCATTTGGGACTCTATTTTGGTCTTGCACTTTTGAGAGTCATAAAGGCTCGAAAGTCTTTCATCCGAGTCAATTCGTCAAAACGGGCAAATGTAGAAAATCAAGGCGAACAGAACCCGAAAACTTGGACCTAAATCTCTCTCTCTCTATCTCTCTTCGCTACTTGTTTACTTTTTGTTTTTGAGTGCCGTTAGTCTAGGATTAGAAAACTCTAACCCCGCCGAACACCTTTTGCTTTATCGAACTCAAAAATTAAGACTGAATCTCAAAAAACAATAAAACGTCAATTCACAAATTTGTTTAGAGTTAAAATTTAAAAAGTTTAACTTTAACGGAATATTAAAGCAATAAATGTTGCAAAACTTGTAATTTGTCTAAATGAAACTTTAATAAGTTCAACTTAAAGATTCGCAAGAGTTAAAACAAAAATAATCAAATAAGTTAATCGCTGGAAAACCGTAAGTTAGCAGAGCGTCTTAGGTGCTTTTTCGAAACCTTCCTAAGACGCTAATAGGAATCCCGAACCCCTTAATAAATGTATCAAAACAATTTTTTCTGTTTAAGTTGTTTAGAAACAAGTTTTCTTAATTTTCCTTAAAAATTAAGTGGCGACTCCTAAAAGTCGGAAATACCTAATATAAAACAAACTCTTTTCAAAAAATCATTTTTCGATAAAACATACATATTTATATATAATAATTTAGTGTTTACTTATGTATGTTATTCAATTTGTGTTATCAAAATTAGAAATTACTGGTTGTAGTAAATTGTTTAGAAAGACTAACTAACTGAAATTTATAGAACCAGTAAGCAAGATGAACAGAAATTTGTTTCTCAAAAATACTTGAATCTGTAAAACTTACCAGAATCTGTAATAATCTTTTTACTTTGGAAGAAAATCAAGTCCACTGAATTCACAGTGTACCCTTAAGGAAATTATTCCCCTCTAGTATTCAAGGTTTGATTTGGAATATAACCTCCCAGGGTAAAATGATATTAATCAGCGTAGAGTGTAAATACCAAAAACTCTACTGTCAGCGAATCAATCCACAGCAGGAAAGTACACGAAGAAATATGTGTTTTGAAGAAGAAGGAAGATCAGAAAATTCGTTGGAAAATATTCTGAAGACTAAGTGGTATTTATAGGCACGAAGAATATATTCTGAAAGGTTGCAACCCTTTCAGAATTGACACGACTATTAACGAAAGGTTGCAAACTTTCAAATAGTATTGACTGTTCCTGAAAGTTGCAACCTTTCAGAACAGTCATGGCGGGAATTTTAAATATAACGGAAATTAAAACAGGTCATGCGCGCGGATTCGAGTCGGGTCGGGTTAACTAAAAACTTGAAAACATTTCGATTAACTTCTGTCATCAACTAATTAATTGAAAATAATTTTTGGCCATTTAATTAAATAAATAATTAAAATAAATTTTGTCCAAAGTGAGCGACGACGACGACGGCGCGAGGGGGGTCCCTCTTTCCAACCCTTTTAACAATTAATAGGAGTGTTTATGTATTTTAGCTCTCCTATTTTTCTTTCCATTACCGATGAGAGACACTTGCTTTTTCATTAAAGCATAAGAGGACTTTTCAAGTTCCCAACTCTTCAAGTTCTCAACTTTTCAAATTCCTCACCTTCCCTATATTTTCCATCAATTCTTGTTACATACCCAACAATGTATCTGTATATGACTAGCAACTTGCATTTTATAATCTAATTCCATTAGAGAGTAAGTTTACTTTCATAAAAACTGGCCATTTACGTAGTGAGTAAAAGAGTGCGGCAACTATATGAAATGTAGGGTTTTGACAAATAAAGAAGAGTGTGGCGACCAAGTGAAATGTAGGGTTTTGAGGAATAAAGAAAGAAAAGTGAGGCTTTTATAGATCACAAAGAGCTTTGAATTTTTAAGAAATTTTATATCTATCCCTCACAATTGTATTAATTGACAATTAATCCCTCTTTATTTTTATTCCTTTTTTTTGCTTAACACATATAACCTTTTAAATTTAGTATTTATTATTAACTTGATACTTCAACTTTTAAAAGATTATTTAGATACAAGTATTAATGATATATTCATATCACACACATATACACATGCATAATCAGCCTCCTTGACATGACAAATTATGTGTTTTATACTAAGCTTGTATTAGAGAATTTACTAAGGAAATAATAAAAGTAAAAATATTTTATAAATTCACCAGTATAAGCTAAGTATAAAACACATAATTTGTCATGTCGAATAGGCATGAGCGCGCAAGCATGCACACAATTAGCCTCCTCGACATGACAAGTTAGGTGTTTATACTTAGCATATACTAGCGAATCTAGTATAAAACACATGATTTGTCATACCGAGGAGGCGTGCGCACACACACGTACACACAAAAAGTAATTAGCTTCCTCGACATGACAAATCACATGTTTTATACTTAGCTTATATTAGTGAATTTATTAAGAGAATTAGAAAAAAATAATAATAATATATATATATATATATATATATATATATATATATATATATATATATATATATATATATATATATATATCTATTATATAATCTAATTCAGAATAAATTAGGCACTTTTTAGTAATTTATTTTTAATCATAAAATGATCCCATTCCACTATTTCTGAAATTTACTAGTAAAATTAAGTGCCACATAAATTATAAAAATTAATACATTGATATTTTTTTATAATGATGTGTTTTCAGTTTAAAAGGTATTGATTCTTAGAAATTTGATGTTGATTTTTACATGGCACAATAATTTAATACCGAAAGAGATGTGAACGATAGTTAAATGCTCAGTCTTATGATTAATTTATTGTTTTTCACTTGTATTTTTTTTAAATTTTATTTAAATCTCGAGTGATTTTCATTGTTAATATTAAAATTGATATTTTAAAATTAAATATATTGATCGCTTTTATTTTTGTTTTTTCTATCATTCTTCAGGGTTTTGTCCTCTAGAATTTTGAAATCTTTTTTTCCCCTATTAAATCTTAGTAAAAAATGTGAATAGAAAAATATTTAGTAAATCATATTATATCGAGAGAGTTGGAATCTTCGCAATGTAAAATTAAATTACTATTTTTATTCCTACAAAATTAACGTTAAAAAATATATAATGAATTGAATATTAAATAATAAGCATATCATACTATACTAATACTAATATATTTATACTACATACTAATGCTAAATATATTAAAAGTAGAATGATGTTAAATAGAAAAATAAAAATATTCCTAAAAAAAAAGGTTAGATATTTTTACCTTTTAAAAAGCTAAATTAGGCATTTTAAAAATCTTTATGTATTAAAATCTTGTGGGACGACCTCGACTCAGAAGACAAATCTTGTTTTCGCTGGAAAGGTATTTCGAACTGGAGGACTCAAACATGAAAGTCTCAAGCACAAACCACTTGGCCTTACCTCTCCCTTACCATTGTCGATTTCATCTGGAGAACACCATTACATCGACCTCCATTTTCTTTAAAATTTCGCAGTCATTATCATCTTATTAACCCGAAAAAATGGATATTCACATTACTCTATTCCTCCCTTTGATTATAAATCTCTCTATACTCCATTAATATATGATTGAAGTTGTGAACGAATTGAAAGTTGTTCATGGTTTCAAAATAGCTTTTATTTTTTCCCGCTCAAAACTACACATGTTTGTCGTGAATTCATTAATTTGTCATGTCACGATGAGTGTATTACACACAACACTTTTAACTGATTGTCAATTTTCTTTTAAATGGTTCAAATTCTTCAACAGGTACCAACCCTAATTGATGTGTTCAAGTAAAATATACAAACGGCTGCTTTAAGGTGCTACGTTAACTTATTAATTGAAATGTGTGATTTTGGTCTTTTAAATTGATAGATACCATATATTTAACAAAATCTGTGGTTAAAAAATATACTATAGAAAAGAAAAAAGATATACGTTTAAAAAAATAAAAAATAAAATATATGATAGATGAGGTGGGCCTTTTTATTACATTCCAAACCTTATTTTTTGCCTATTTTTCTAATGATCTTTGTTCTTCCAGTAACTTTATATTATTTCACTGTAAAATCAATTTAGATCTTTTCTTTTTGTTCTTTAATTTTTTTCATTACACTAATTATGTTATCTATTTAATAGTTGTTAGCTCAGGGATCAAAATTACATATTTTAATTATAAGTTATTTAAAAAATGTCAATTAAAACATCTCTTAATGTAGAGAGGACCTCTCCCTTTTCTTGTTTATTTAGGCTATGAAAGGGCTTACTAAAATTCTAGAGAAGGCTATACAACTACAATTATTTCAAAGCATTCTACCCTTTTTTTTTAATGGGTCGTGTATCGGTTGAATTTTATGTATTATCGGTGTGATTTATTAATTTTTAATTTTTAAATATGCTAAATTAATAATTAAATCAATAAATATTTGTCATGAATTTTTGGTTTATCAATTTGGTACTTAACAGTTTAATTTTCGGTTCAAACAATAAGGAAATGCTCATTAAAACAAATATACGTCTTTTCCAATAATTTAATGTGCCAGAAAAATACTATAACTTTACATAATGCTCATAAAATAAAAACAACAATAACTAACATGAAAAGAACCATACAACTGTGACATGGTATTTATAATTACGTAGGGGCGAAGTAATTGTAGTATATTGAATATTTAATATTTTAATAATAGCGCAAAGTGGTATTTAATATTTAAACAGAGTGCAACACAATATATTTAATATTTATGAAGGGGTAAAGTAAAAAAATTATTATAATCTTTATGTGTTATTGGTTTATTTAGTGACTCAATATTATAAAATCATAATCGAGTCGACAAGTCATAATGTTTATTATAAAACATTAAAAATTCATTAACCCAATAATTTAATAGCAATAACCAATAATATTGAAGAGAATTCAAGAGGAAAAGTTTCAAGTGAAATTCATTCATGAACACTTATTAGGATTTAAGTCGCAAGTCACTTACAGATACATATTATAACTAATAATTAAGTATTTGCTTATGTATCTGAAAATGACTTGCAACTTGCATCCTTCTGTGTACTCTAATGTGTAAACTTACTTTCATAAAAAATAATGTAAAGAGTGAAAACTTCAACAAAAAATGAAAGATGTTATAGGGCCATTAGAGTGTAAACTTACTTTCATAAAAAATAATGTAACGAGTGAAAACTTCAACAAAAAATGAAAGATGTTATAGGGCTATTAGAGTGTAAACTTACTTTGCATAGAAAATAATGTAACGAGTGAAAATTTCAATAAAAAATGAAAGATGTTATAGGGCACATGAAGGTCATTTACATAGCAAGAAAAAGAATGTGGCGACCAAGTTAAACTAGGGTTTTGAAGAATAAAGGAAGAAAGTGAGGCTTTTATAGATCAAAAAAAGCTTAAACTTTAGAAAAATTTAATTTTACCCCTCACAATTATATTAATTGACAATTAATCCCTCTTTATTTATCTTTTACTAAACGCATATATAATCCCTTAATTAGTATTTAGTGTCAACTTGATACTTCAACTTTTTAAAGAATTATTTAGATAGATTACATGATAAATATGTGTGTAATTGTGAATATCTCATAATGACATGACAAATCATGTAGTTTATACTTAACTTATACTAGTGGATTTATAAGGAAATAATAAAATACAAATATAAAAACAACACATAAAGCACGCACACATGCACATACATACATTATACGCACACGCGAACACACATACAAAAACTTTTAAAACTTGTCTAATATATGTCTAAAATTTGTGTTGATATAAATAATCTAAGGATAAATCAAACACTTTTGAGTTAAATTTATTTTTAGTTATAAAATAATTTTATTCCATCTCTTTATGAAATTCATTAATAAAAAACGAATGCCACATAAATTGAAGAAAAGGAAATACGTTGAAACCTTCCTATGATGATTTGTTTTCAGTTTAAAATGTATTGATTTTCAAAAATTTTATGTTGATTTTTACGAGGGCACAATAATTTAATTTAATATCAATGAAATGTGAGGTAATTAAATGGTCAGCTTTATTAATAACAGATAGTATTAAATAAATAGTATAAAATAATATTAGTACTTACTGTGTACTAATCCTAGTCCTATTAGGATTAGTACTCCTTCCTATATCTCATATATATATATATCTCCCATGTATTCTCTTAACACTTCAATACAATCAATATTCCTTCATGGTATCAAGAGCCAGAAAACCTAGATCTTCTTTTCTCTAGTTTTTTTCTCTCTTTAAGGCACCGATCGTTCCCTCTCTTCTCTTGGGCGGCGGCAGCTATGACAACCGAGGTGGATCCTCTCGATTCACTTCCTTTTGGCGTTAAACTCCTTCTCAGGCATCTTTATGCCCTGATTCCCGAAAAATTATCACACATAAATTACCCTACATGGAAAATCACCGTTCTTACAGCCCTTGAGGCCAATTACCTTCTCAAATACGTCGATGGAAGCACAGAACCGCCGCCGGCAGTCATCACCGCCACGGACAAATCAGAAAAAATCAATCCGGCCCATGCCGCCTGGAAAGCCGTGGATGGCCAGATCCGATCATGTTTGATTGTGGTCATCTCTCCCACGGTTCAGAAACACGTCTGATCCTACACAACTGATTCAGCCCTATGGACGGCCCTCGCAACACGCTACGCATCAATTTTCCACTCTCATATTTTTCAATTGCGTGATCGTCTCCACACAATTACCAAAGGCACGAAAACTATGACGGAGTATTTAGACGAGGTCTCCACCATCATCACAGCCCTCGACACCGTGAACGAAATTATTCCCGAAAAAGATTTCGTCATGTGCGTCGTTCGGGGGCTCCCATCAGCTTACTCCTTCATTAAACAGGCGGTTCGCATCAGTCCAACGCCCGTTGACCTGACTACTCTCCCCTCATGGCTAAAAAGTGAAGAAATCAACGTGGATCTGGAGAACAAACTTCTTCTCCGAGAAGCCGCTGTTATGGAGCCGGCCACCGCCCTCACCGCAAGCCAGAACTATCGCGGGGGGCGTGGTGGCGGCCGGCAGGGGAGCCGCGGCGGCTACGGCAGAAACAGCGGAGGCCGCGGGCGCGGCGGTCGGCAGGGCAGTCGTCCGCCGTACGATGGTCAGCAGCACGGCAGCAACAACAACCTGCACTCCTTCGGCAGCGGCGGGCAGTCATCTTCCAGCGGCGGGCAGGGCACTTACGAGCGGGATCATCCAACTTGTCAAATCTATCAGAAAACAGGACACACCGCTGTTCGTTGCTGGTTTCGGTATGAGAAGAGCCGAAATAGTGATAACCGTGCCAATTATGCATCTCAAGCCGGCCCTTCCTCTGAATGACTGTTGGATACTAGGGCCAACATGCACGTTACTTCTGATCTATCCAAGCTTAACGCTCCAAATTCATATCATGGCTCCAATAGTATTACTATTGGCAACGGTGAGTCCCTTAATATTTCTCACACTGACACGGGTACCATTAAAACCCCCACCGCTATCTTTCACCTAGGTAACCTTACTCACGTCCCTTCTATTAAAACCAATCTCCTTTCAGTTCACCAATTCACAAAAGACAATAATTGCTCACTCTTGTTCACCTCTAAAGATTTTCAGATCCTAGACAATACTACCAAGAGGGTGATTTTTCAGGGCCCCTGTGAGCATGGTCTGTACGTTCTTCCTGTCACAAGTTCGTTTGCCCACCCAGTTTCAGAAAGCGTTCCTGTGGCTCCGGTGGCTCTTTCGGCTGATGACCACAGTCTGTTGTGGCACAGTCGTCTGGGTCACCCGTCTACTCAAATAATAAATTCTGTAATGTCTCAATTAGGTGTTTCTTCCATTCATGTAAACAATTGTGACTCCTGTTCAATTGCTAAATCTCATAAATTAGCTTTTACTTTATCTGAGAAGCGTACAACTGCACCTTTTCAACTTATTCATTCTGACCTATGGGGTCCTACTGCTGTTCCTTCATTTGCTGGTTTTTGCTATTATATTCGTTTTGTGGATGATTTTACAAAATACACTTGGTTGTACCCACTAAAACACAAATCGCAGGCATACACCACCTTTGTCACTTTTGAAGAAATGGTCAAAACACAATTCAATTCTCATGTTAAACTTTTTCGAAGTGACAATGGAAAGGAATATGTAAATAACATCTTTGGCCAGTTTCTGCAATCACTGTGAATTATACATCAAACCTCCTGTCCATACACTTCCGAACAGAATGGGGTGGTTGAGCGTAAGCATCGCCATCTCATTGGAACAGTGGTTACTCTTCTACATCAATCTCATCTCCCTGTCTCCTTTTGGGTAGAAGCTCTAGCCACCACAAACTACCTCATTAACAGAATGCCCAGTCACACCCTCTCCAACAAATCACCCTATGAACTCCTTTACCAAGAACTTCCCAATTATACCAACCTCCGCATCTTTGGGTGTCTTGCCTACCCTTGGCTACGCCCTCATATTACTCACAAGTTACAACCCCGATCCCGTCCTTGTATTTTTTTGGGCTATCATCCTACCTCCAAGGGTTATCGCTGTCTTGACCCACAAACTCATAAAGTCTACATATCTTGTCATGTCAAATTTGTCGAAAATGAGTTTCCGTACGAGTCTATTTCCTCCTCCACAAATACATCATTCATTGGCGTCCTTCCCCTTTTTCCAATATACTCACAGGGTCCCTCACCACCTTCCCCCACACCTCCACCCACTACCCAACCACCCCTCATCACCCTTTCGACCGTCACCCACAATACACCCGCAACCACCATCCACACTCACAACCAACCCGAACCACCCCATACCCACAACATCTCCAGCCCAATCCGTTTTGGGTCCTTCCCGGCCACCCCCGAATCACCACCGCCCGTGCCACCCCCCAATACTCATCCCATGTTAACCCGTGACAAAGCCGATATCTTTAAACCCAAAACCTTTCAGGCTACCATACTACCAAATACACCCCTTCCCGATAGTGAACCAACAACCTACTCTGTTGCCTCAAAAAATGCTTATTGGCGTCATGCTATGGATGACGAGTTTAAGGCTTTGACTGAT